TGGTGCTTGGATAATCAAATAAATCCTATGGCCCATATTATTCTTGTAAGTTGTTATTTTTTTGGTAAATGGGTTGAAAAGGATGCAAATAAAGCATTCATTTATTATCAAAAATCCGCTGATAAGGAAGATGCTGAAGGAATGATTTGTGTTGGTGTATGTTACGAGTTTGGATTTGGTGTTGAAAAAGATGAACATAAGGCATTCTTTTATTATCAAAAGTCTGCTAAAATGGGTCATGCTAAAGGTACATGTATAGTTGGTGATTGTTATCATCATGGAATTGGAGTTGAGGAAGATAAACATAAGGCATTTAATTATTATAAAAAATCTGCTGAGATGGGTAATTCTAAAGGAGTATTTCAAGTTGGTTATTGTTACCATCACGGAATTGGAGTTGAAAAGGATAGATGCAAGGCACTCACCTATTATAAAAAGTCTGCAGAAATTGGTGATGTTGTGGGAACGTATATGGTTGGACGTTGTTATGACGAAGAAAAAGGTGTTGAAAAGAATAAACATAAAGCATTCGAGTATTATCAAAAATCTGCAGAGATGGGTTACGCTAAAGGAATGTATAAAATTGGTTATTGCTATGAAAATGGTATTGGAGTGGAAAAGAATAATCAAAAGGCATTCGAATATTATCAAAAGTCTGCAGAGGTGGGTTACGCAGAAGGAATTTATATGATTGGTTATTGTTATCGTCATGAAATTGGAGTTGAAAAGGATGAATGTAAAAGTTTTACTCATTATCAAAAATCTGCAGATATGGGTCATGATAAAGGAACATATATGGTTGGTTATTGTTACCATCACGGAATTGGAGTTGAAAAGGATAGATGCAAGGCATTCACCTATTATCAAAAGTCTGCAGAAATGGGTGATGTTTTGGGAACATATATGACTGGTCGTTGTTATGATGAGGGAAAAGGAGTCGAAAAGAATAAACATAAGGCCTTCGAGTATTATCAAAAATCTGCAGAGATGGGTTATGCTAAAGGAATGTATAAAATTGGTTATCGTTATCTTCATGGAATTGGAGTTGATAAGGATGAATATAAAGCTTTTATTTATCATCAAAAATCGGCTGATTTAAAGTGTAATGTAACTAATTAGTATGGTTTTGTGATTATATGGACGAAATTAACAATTTTTTCAAAGGATATTTTTTTTTATATAAATCAATTTAGAATAAGATTAGAATCATTTTTCACTTAAAATACAAAAGTAATTGTATTAATAAAATTTTGTGGTATATCTCTTTAAAGTTTGCATTTTCTTATGATTTATTATAAAATTTACAACATAAAAATTGATTTTCTGAAGATCTTTTTTTTTGTCAATTTCGTCCCTTTTCTCAGCACCTAGCCCATATTTAATTGAGTTTCTATGCAATTTTTAAAAATTAATGCCACGAATTTTACATTTAAAAATTAATGTATAATAAATGAATAAAGAAATTTCATAATTTAATAAACCGTAGGTAGCGTTCCCACAAAAAATTGTTCATCCTTGTAAGTTTTTTACAAAGAATAAAACTGCATTGTGGTTTGGTTAGGGTTAAAATAGTTATATGTTTAATAGTAAAATTTCACGAGGAGCAATTTTAATTATACCGCAGAAGGTAGTTTCTTAATTAAAATTTCGAATTATTTCTGTTTTGTGTATAAAAGTGGTTTCGCTTTGACTGTTTACGTTAAATCTGATCATGAAATTTGATTGGTCAACAATCACGAAGGTGAACAATTTTTTGTGGGACGTCCCGAATCATACTTAATTAGATTCATCATTGTATTTATTAGCATATGATCTTGTTTAAAAAAACAAGGTTTTGATAATTACCGTACAGCGCGGACCATATTACTCAGTGTAACAAATAATGTAGGTCGATTTTTTAAAGTACTATTTATGTATGTGCGTGATGCGAAAATCATGCGATTTTTAAATTTCCGCCAAGCAAAATTTTGCATCACGCCGGCCACGCTGTACGATACATGAATATTCTCTGTCTTCAATTCTGATATCTGCGAAACAATCCACTGAGGATTCGAGCCAACAATTAAAGCTATGCCAACTGGACTGAATTATAAAAACTACACAGTATTTCATCACATACGGCCTGCATAGTTGCCCATCCCTAATAATGACTTGATTCGTACGTACTGTACGTACAATATGTCCAAATATATATTGTACTGCGACAAAACTTTTATAAATTGATTATTAATTAAAATCAGATGATCCATGCATAACACACTAGCTCCTCAGAGTACATAAGTAGAAATCTTAATGACACAGTATCGGTATAGATAATTTTATAAGTATACGTATAACACACTTTTGTAACAAAGCATTTTCTTGAATATAAAATGTCAAATAATTTAACTGCAAATCTAAATGTAAAACGACCAGAAAAAAACGGCAGTTTATCAGACAATCCTAATCATTCATATATAGAGGACGAGGAATTTTTAAGTGAAATTGTTAAAGAATTATATGATTTGTATAATGAAGAAAAATCCAAAAGAGATGATCCCGAATCAATTATTAACACACTGGGTCAATTTCTAGCAAAAAAAAAGCAAAATCCAGATAATATCATCAATTGGTGCTTGGATAATCAAATAAATCCTATGGCTCATATTATTCTTGCACATTGTTATTGCTTTGGTAAATGGGTTGAGAAGGATAAAAATAAAGCTTTCATTCACTATCAAAAATCTGCCGATATGGAGTATGCTGAAGGAATATTTTTGGTTGGTGTATGTTACAAACTTGGAATTGGTGTTGAAAAAGATGAACATAAGACGTTCATTTATTTTCAAAAAGCTGCTAACATGGGTAATTCTAGTGGAATGTACAGTGTTGGTTATTGTTATTATCATGGAATTGGTGTTGAAAAGGATAAAACCAAGGCATTCATTTATTATCAAAAATCTGCCGAAATGGGTCATGCTAAAGGAACATATATGGTTGGTTATTGTTATGAAAATGGAGTTGAGAAAGACAAATATAAGGCGTTCAACTATTATAAAAAGTCTGCAGAAATGGGTTATGTTAAAGGAATATATAAAATTGGTTATTGTTATCTTCATGGAATCGGAGTTGAAAAAGATGAATATAAAGCTTTTATTTATTTTCAAAAATTTGCTGAAATAAGATGCAATGCAACAAATTAGTTTTGATTCTGTAACTATAATCAATTGTCTTTATACGTATAATTTTAACTTTATTAAAATGCCGAGATCTAACTTTAATGTTTTAAATTAATATTTTAATAATTGAATAAGCAATTTTATAACTTTATAAACCAAATTGTACAGTACTTTTTAATTTTTAACTGTTTTTATTAAGAGAAATCTAATAATATATCAACTATTTGTGCCAAATTATATACTATCGTGATCCTTCTTAATGATTGTTTTATACAAAATAGTGATTATGCTGTAAATAAGAACGGAATATAAGTAGATTTGGAATTTTTTAATTTTATTAAGAAATTCCAAATCTATTTTTATCCACAACAATAATAAAAGAATGTAATAATATAATATATCTTTTATAGAATAAATATAGTTTATACGTACCAGGGTTATTGATAACCCCTCTATTTTATAATTGTTTTTAGTTTTTTTATCAAATTTAGGGTTAGGGTGCTGAAACAGAGGTTAAGTATAATAATCCAAATTTTAGATTATATAATGTGTTTGGGGTTCTGACCATTTTTACTAACCTACCTGACTCCTGTTTCTTAGTTAATTTATTGAAATATAGCACCCCAGATATTAATAACCCCCATATAAATTATAAATATTCTATTTGAAAAATTTTAATTGTAATAAAATTACTATATTTAAATTATAAACCAAAAACTTTTTATAAATATAATTAAATAATTACTACTATTTCAATAATTTTTTGCCTTTTTACTATAAGGCCGTACAAACTTAATAAATTGGTTCTCATAACCCGGCCGGGTCAAATTTCGCAAAATTCTTAAAAAAATTTTTGACAATATTTACTATCCGGGTGAAGGTTTTTCAGAAGTCTATAAAAGTTCTATATGCATTTTATATATAAAATTTTTGGAAAATAAAATTAAAAGCCGGGTTGCCGGGTCATTTTTCAAATTTTATGATATGAGAACCAAAAAATTAACTTCGTATGGCCTAAGTTATACAATAAAATATAAAAATACTATTTTTAATAACTAATTAAATTTAAAAAATTAATTTTTTTAAAATTAAAAATTTTTATTAAGTTAGAATTTATTGGGATTTTAATTAATATTATATAGTAAATTTTTGTTTTAATAATATATTTATTAATTTTTAAATTTTTATTAGTTGGAATTATTTGTACTAATTTATATATTATTACAAAATTTTAAAATAAATATAATTGTTTGAAAAAAATACTTATCTTAATTTTTATATTACATTTGATCTTATATTCTAATTGACCAAACTCATAAGTTTGAAAAAATTAGTGCTAACATAAAAATCTACAAATTATTATTTATCTAATATATTCATATCTTTGATCCCAAATATCTTGGGATGATTTTGATAATTTAAACACCATTAGAACTAACAAATCTGCTCTTTAGCTTTAATTAGAAGCCCAATAAACCCTAGTTTAATAAAACTTCTTTGATTATTAAAATAAAATTTTTATATTTTTCATATAACCCATGGTGGAAATAGCAATTCCTATAATTATTATTGTGCACTAATTTGAGAACGTCCTTACATAGTGAATGAATATTTAAGTATATTGTAGTTCATATGCTGTATCTCTCCAATGAATACATACTCAACTACTAATTTAATATGAATAAAATAGAAATATTGCGTAGAATAACTCGAAAAGCATATTTTGATATATCGATTAATTGTCTCAAAAGCAAATGATAATCCGACTTCATTCTCAGCTTTTAGTTTAGTTGTACTTATTATTGATTTATCTATATATAAGAGAAACATTTTAGCAGGCATATGATTAGACAAAAAGAGAAAACTACAAAAAAAATTCAAAAACAACTGACAAAATTAAAAAGGTTAAACGAATGTAAATATACACTCGCTCGAAGTTTTATGGATTATCCCGTGTTGATGAACAAGTGATATTCGGATTTGCAATGGACAGAACTAAGTTATAAAAATGTTTATACAACGAATGATAATGATTGGGTAACAAAAGTATCTATAGCAAGCCATATATGTATCTCGTGGTCTCGCCTTGCTTGAATCTGTAGATTTTATGTAATGACATTCGTGTGAAATATTATGGTATGAAATACGCATTTATAATTTGAATATATTTATTGAATTCAATTAATTCGATCTTAAATATAGATGATTGCAGATTAAAGTTTTAAAGCAGCTCTTCAATGTAATTAGATAGTGATCGAAATTTGTTTAAATCATTGCGATTAACTGAGTGGTTAATGAGGTTGGTCGAAGAATGACTTGCCGTATAGTTCCGAAATTAAGCACCCTTTTTTTGTTATAGGGGATGCTTAATTTTGGATAACTTTTTTTGATAAGATTTATGATATGTTAAACTTAAGTGTAATTCATATTCCATCAAACAATAAAAAACAAGTTGTCATCTATGCTAAAGAAACCGAGAGGAATAAAGCTCGGCAGCCTTTAAGCTTGATTCTAGTATGCTTGTTCGCTGGATTAAAGTAAGTAGGCTATGGGAGCCGAGATAAAACAAAGCATCAAACGAGTCAGCTTTGGTCGAACAGAATTTTACCCTAAGATGAAAAAAGCTATACGATTGGATTATAGAACAGAGAAAAAAAAGGATTTAGTGTTTCTTATGAGATTATACCATTAAGGTGCATAATATTTTAAAGGAACCTGATACAGTACCATAACTCTTTATGGCATTTCAATGGACAAAATTAAAACATCAAATCTATTAAAACCTATTAATGCAAATTCAGAGGGCAAATCTAATATAAAACGTGGGGGTGCTTATTTTTAGAGATGATACCAAATGTTGGTGGTGCTTAATTTCGGGGGGTGCTTAATTTCGGAACTGTAATAAAAATTCATTGTGCGAAATGCGGATTTTAAATTTTATCAATTAGTGCAACCTTATGAATAAAAACGGTCTACACCTCTAAGTTTCATTCATCGAAGTGGCAACTCACTTTGTTTGTTTATTCAACTTCTGACTAATTAAAATTTTGCTTCCAATCCATTGGGTGAAGCGCTTGAGAACACCTTAAGATTACAAATTTTGATGTGGCTCATATATAATTAAAATGCTAATAATATCCTTCTATCGCGTATTTTAGCCTATCATTTTTTATTCTACATAATTATAATATATACTACGAATTAGTAGAATTACTCATCTATCAAAAGATGGCATAACAATACAATATGAAAAGATATTACAATAATCAAATAATTTAAAGTAGATAAATAAAAGATCAAATTCTTTCGCTCAAGTCAATGATTATCGCCTAAAAATCTTTTCTTTATTATCATTAATTATCACGACTATAATATATATCATCTATGTTTATGATCATGCTGTACGATTTTTTCTCATAATAATTGTCCACGTGATATAATCATATAAGTGGTAGTTACGAAAACAGCAAGAGAAGCAGATGAATTGTAAGATGATGTCATGGATCTTATTATTTATGCATTTTTCATGTTCATATTTATATTTCTGGAATAACTTTTAAGCATTATTATTGACAGATTTACGCCAGTTCAATTTAGCAATTTACTCTTTCGCTGTATTTTTTAATTAAGTGACAGGCTAAAAAATGTCATGATGGATAAATATTTTGTGATTTGAAGTCGTGTAAATGTCGCTGAGATATAACGTGTGATGAATCATCGAAAGAAAATATCTATCGGTAGTATAGCGATTTACATATGAGTAGTGCGCATATATAATTTGAGTATTTCCCAAAATTAGAAAATAATCTCAAACTCGATGATTGCGAACATTCTTAATGTGCAAAAGACTTGCGAATTTTACTTAAATGAATTCAGATTAGATTTGTCGTGATTCTTCTCAACAAATAAAGATTTCTAAATAACTTCTTATTTATAAACTATAGATATACTCTTGTCGATTTTACAGGTATCCTAGCTATTGTTATTTCGGTATTGGTATTGTGTTTAGTATTTGTATTCACTGCTACGAAAAAAGTAGAAAAGTTTTCAATGTTTACATTTTGCACCATGAATCTAGCGAAATTATAGCTACTTAAAATTTTGTTTTAATCTTTTATAGAAACTTTTTAACTATTTCTACAGAGGATTATTTATTCTAGTTATAGTGGCCTTTATGATTCCACATTGACCACAATGGTTAAGTTTAAACTGCTAATTTTGATAATTTACGAGACTTTAATCAACATATCTGCTAAAATAGAAAAACGAAAAAACAATGCAAAAAAAAACTATACGAAGTAATAAACTACTATTAATAAAGAAATAGCAACCATATGACAGATATTAAAAATAAGCAGCTATATAATAAGAAAATAAGCAACCACATACAGTAAGAACAACAGTAAAAAAACGTATATAATTTGATCAAGTGACAAAAAATTGTTATACATACATATAATTACTAGACGGAAGGAATATTATCTTGAGAAGAATTATTATTCTGATTCTTTTTTTCCCATAAGCTCAACTAATTTATCATTTATTTTATCAATTTTATTGAGTGCTTCATTTATTTGATTTTTTTATCATTTATTTTATCAATATTTTTGAGTGCTTCAATTATTTGATTTTTTAACTCTCCTTTAGAATCCTTAATATTACAAATTTTCCAAATTGCAGGAACCAAGCTTTCTTCATCTTCAACATCTTTCACATATTTTTTAAGCTCATTAACCGAAGCTTCATAATATCTAAAAGTTCAAATTGTATATTAATAATACGTATAGTATTTATTTATAATCGATTGTATACAAAATTCATACAAGATTTCTGGAAACCAATTATTCTTCCTTCTTTGATAGGGTAACATCCAAAAAAGTTCAATTTCAGATAATATCTAATAATAAAAACATAGTAATTACATATTTTTATCTTAATTTAAATTATAAATAATTTTTTTTACCTCTCCTCTTAGTTGTAAAAAAGATTCTTCATTATTTGTTTCATCAATAGCATTTCCAAGTAATGAAATAAATAGATTTAATAAATAAATAGTTGTAAAAAATGAAAATATAACCAACAAAATCGCCAAAATCCAATTATTTTTTAAAGCCCATGATGAAACTGAACTTGATTCCCCTAAAATTAAAATTATGAGTAAATTTTTCTTGTTAAATTTTTGGTTAGGGGAGGAACAAAAATCAGGTGATTTCAAGTTACTAAGAGGTTATACTCCCCACCCCCACCTGATTCAATTATTAGCCAATTAAATTTAACTACAAAATATAGGACCTGATCGAATCACAAACCCCACCCCTAAAAAATCAGCTGATTTCTGTCCCTTCCCTTAATATATTATATTATATAAAATATCTGTTAGCATAAAATATACAGCTAAAACAGAAGTACTAAATAATGAAAATAAATTTGTATTATCATCTGGAGTTTAAATAAGTAAAGGCTCTCCAATAGTGCCATTAGATGAGATAAATTTATATGTTGAAACAAGATTCCAAGGATTATTGTATTATCAGTATAACTTGGCTGATCATAAGAATATTTACTAGTAGGTCTTAATAGAAGATGCAATGAATGTGCAAAAGCCAAAACCATAATGCCTAAAACAAGAAGAAAAAAGAAAACTTTTTGTGCTACTCCAATTATAATTGCAAAATATTTTCCAAAATATTCCAGAGCTCGGAAATATAATAAAAATTTAACTTCAAGAAAAAAAGCTGCAATAGTTATAATCCAAACCGGTGGAGTTTTAACATATAGCCATAAAAATGAAGTTATTGTTGGAACTAATATTGCAGCAAGATCTATAATTAAAATTCGAATATAACATAAAGTTATTAATATTATAAATCTATAATATATTATCTCAAACTATCAAATCAAGATATACCAAACCAATTCCAAGGACTAGCAATATAAGATACTGGTCTATGAATAAATTGACGAATTTCAAAAATAAAATGTATAAATCCAAAGAAAATTGTTGCTAACAAAAGAGTTACTTGAATATTCCAAGATATTTCATCTTCCAGAATTGTTGAAACTATTAAAAAGCAAATCATAAAAATTGAATATATAGTCCATATTATAAAATAATATCGTCTTCCATAGGTACACCACTTGAAGTTGATTAGTGCTTTAATATTCCACCACTTGTAATAAGTAGGGTCATCTAATAATAAATTAAAGGGATTATTAGGCAAATAAAATAATTCAAGGTAAGAATAATCTTTAGAATATGTGGCAAAACCAGATAAAGGAATCATTAATTTTACAGTTTTTTGAGAATAAGTAGTAAAGTAAAATGAATAAATCAAATAAGGGAATGCCAAAACGTTATAAATTTTAGGATACAAATTTTTTAAAAAGTTTAGTTTTTCAGAGATCCAGAAAAGTAAGTAATCAACATGTGAAGTATTAGATAAATAATTTAAATGAGCATAGATTCCACAATGTTGAAGATGAGATAATTGAGATGCATTATCTATATCATAATTATCAGGAATTAACATATTAGTTTTAGATAAAAATTTTTCTGTAACTCTTAGATTTTTGTTACATTCTTCTACTTCTACCAATGTAAAAGTGATTAGATCTATTAACAATATAAAGTTATAAATATCACCCTTTCGAAGCATTAACAGGCTATATTCATAACAATCATCAAGTAATTTCTCAAGTTCTGGATAATTATTTTTTTGAATTGTTGTATGAAATAGATGTTTTCCATATAATTTTAATGTCAATTCATTATAGCTTAAATAATGTTCTTCACTCTCAAATTTTGGTGATGGTAAAATGTTCAAGTTAAGATTTAATTTATCATTAAAAGAAGCAAGATTTCTGATTAAGGATTGACATTCTAATTCTTCTATTTCTGGTTTAGATCTATCATCACTCCAATAATAAATTAAAATAATTCCTGTTCTGTCAGAATTTATTGTAAAGATATATATGCCAAAAGCAGAGACTAATAATATATCTCCATTTTCAAGTAGTTTATTTTCATAAATACCACTTTCACAAAAAAACTTCCACCATCCTTTAGCTTCTTTATCAGGCTCAACACGGAATTGAAAAGTCACTTCATGTGAATATTTTTTATCAATAACTAAGGGATAATAATAATGACTAACAATCCAGATGCATAATTCTCCAGAATATTCTTTAGTTTCTTTATTTGAGTAATTCTTAGTTAAAATTTGATTTGATTGATATTTTTCCAAAATAGTTATAATAAATTGTCTAATTTCTTTTATACTAAAAAATGTATTAAATATATAATGTTCTTCAAATTCTATATAATTTTTCCAATTGTTATATTGAGACAATCTTTGAATTGACAAATGGTTATTATCTTCAAATTTTATAATATAATTCGAGATAATATTAATGAACCAAAATGATTTATAATTTTGATAAGTGGGTGAATAAATATCATGTAAGACATGAGTGTTTGGAAAATCATCAAGTGTGTGATGACGAGGATTCAATATATAAGAGTTATAACTCCTCTCTGTTTTATAATTCTCGCAAGAGAAAAATAAGCGTTCTTCTTCTCCACATCCAATGAAGCAGAAATTATGCAATAAACTCCTTTCAAATGTTCCTGCGTTATTAGATATTTAAATTAATAAACTTATTATTTAATTTATAATTTTAACAAGAAATACCTACTGTTTGCTACCATTATACCAGATTTTGTTGAATAAACATAAATCTCAATTGCACAAAAATTATCTATAAATGTTTCACAAGCAATTGCAAGCAATGAGTTGTCATTATTCTGTTTCATTTCTACTGGGTACATATCCCAATTTAGTATATATTGCATTTCAAACTTCTGTGTCATTAAGTTCCATTGCGTGATTATGCAGGGTACACGAAAGAGCATCATTAATTTTCCATTTGGAAAAATAAAACAGGCAACAAATTTTTCGAGTTCAATGCTATTTCTGCATGTCCAATGATGTCTACTATTAGACTTTGAAAAGATATAGGCCCGATAAACAGGCTCTCTTTTGACAATTACCAGATAACCATTTTCAAGAAAAGCGATGTTTGCTATTTTTCCTTTCAAACCTTGTGCACTCAATATTTGTCTTGACTTGGTTGCGATGTCAATAATTTCTGTTAAGAATAATTTTATTAATATAAAAGTATAATTAAACATCAGTGATCAATTAATTTTAACTAACCAAAATCGAACAAATCTGCAGCATCTTTATATTTTAATAATTTTAGTATAACTTGTTTAAAGTCAGAGACTCCTATTAGCACTTCATTGTATTCATTGTATACTTTAAACATAAATTCATACGCTTCTTTATTATCGATGCTTAACATAGATTTAAGCTCCTCAGAGTTTATTGCATTGTCATATTCGATAGTGAAATCTTTTGTGATGGTCCACCCAACAATTGATTGATCTTCTTTACTCCAAGTTGAAATATATTGTATATTTGGTGAAAAAATATATTTGTAGATTCTCTTTCCTCCGTGTGGAACATCAATCGATATCTTAGTTTGGTCATGATCTTTACTTGACTGCTCTTCAGATTTCGATGAACTCATCTTACTTTGAATTTATGAAACGTTTTGATCAATTATTTAATATATAAATTTTAAAATGCTTTTATTAACCCTCAAATCAATCATATTTATTTATTTTAGTAAATAAATATATGCTAACGCTAAGTACAATGTATTACATTGCACCGATAAGGAATGAGTGCAGCCTCGTGGCTTAAAAACATTAGGAGCCACATGACGAATCCTCGAACGTAAAAATTAGGCCGCGCAAAGTTGATTTTTCGTTTTGCATAACATGGAATCTGTAACTTGAGATGGTCGGCAGCTTATTTTCTTTCAGTTGGTCCTAGGATAAAAAATGGTGGAAAAAAAATAAATGGTAAAAAAAGAGCAATTGGTACAATTGGCTCTCAAAAAACAAAAAAAAAACTTTTTTTAAAAAAAATCGAAAAAATAGGTCGGTCGGGTAGCTAAAACGAAAATAAACTTTGCGCGGCCTTATCTATACAAATTGAGTTTGTAGCATGTCATTAAACCCCTAAATTTC